TATTTCCTAGTACCTTTAGAAATCCAATAGCCGTGATTTATTTGTTTACTTATCATGATCATGACCATCTCGGAAGACCATCCAGATAGACTTTGTAACGAGTTACTGGTACTGAAGTCATAACTGATCCAGACGATCTTGATTCTAAAGACCTGACAGAGATAGAAAGCTAGCATCGAATAGACTAGCACTAGGTTCTTAGTGTTGGAATATATTTTGGGGCTAGTCTGGGACTTAAATTTCTTTTGAGATGTAATTATTTTGGTCATGTACATATTATTTTGAGTCCCACTTGTTTTACCAAAGAGTTTGTAAATTATCGTATAAAATATGTATTACTGCAGATTTTTTTTTACCAATGTTGTAAAAATTTATTTCGTGTAATTATGATTTATGTTTATTACTATTTATTTAATATTTCATGTGTTGACAAACCTTGTAAGCAACCTTAATTACAAATAGGTATTTTATCTATTTATACATACAAAATTTTCCATATATGAAAATTTTATACATTATACTGAGTTGAATAAATGGAATAAGTAGCTTTTAAAACTTTAAAAATTTAGGATGTTACATCCAGGTCCATTTGTGAAACTTCTAGAAAGTTGAGGCATATATGCACAATATACTATGTCTAGTACACCACAACAAAATGGTGTGGCTGAAAGGCAAAATCATACTATCACAGAAATGGTTAGAAGTATGTTGAGTTATAGTTCTGTACCTATGTCTTTGTGGATGTATGCATTAAAGACCACTGCGTATCTGCTTAATAGAATTCCTAGTAAGGCAGTTTCAAAGACTCCTTATGAATTGTGGATAGAAAAGAAACCCAGTTTAAGACATCTTTATGTTTGGGGTTGTCCAACAGAAGTAAGAGTGTATAATCCACATGAAAAGAAGCTTAATGCTAGAACCATTAGTGGTTATTTCATTGACTATTCTGAGAAATCAAATAGGTACAGATTCTACTGTCCTAATTATAGTACGAGAATAGTTGAGTCTAGAAATGCAAGGTTGATTGAAAATTGTCAGTTTAGTGGGAGTGGTGAAATACAAAAGGTGGAAATTAAAGAGACACATGCAGAAACTCCTGTAGTTGGTGTCTCTTATCAAGTTGTTGTCCCTCTTGTTGTATTACAGTCACACAACATAAGGAGACAACAAGTTAATGTTCTAAACCCATAAGAACAACATATAGAGGATAAACCAGCTGACAATACGCAAGTCACAAACGAGCAAAAGGAAGATGAACCACAAGAGATAACTTTAAGCAGGTCTATAAGGCAGAAAAGACCTGCTATTTCAAATGATTATGTGGTTTACTCACTTGAGCATGAATGTGACTTAAGTATTGATGAGAATCTAGTCTCATTTAAGCAAGCCATAGAATGTAACAATTCTGAAAAGTGGTTAAATACCATGAAAGAAGAGTTAAAATCAATAAGTGACAACAAGGATTAGGATCTAGCCGTGTTGCCAGAAGGTTCAAAATTAGTCAGTTGCAAGAGGGTCTTTAAGACCAAACATGATTCAAAAGGCAACGTTGAGAGATACAAGGCTAGACTTGTTACTAAAGGATACACTCGAAAGGATGACATAGACTATAAAGAGACCTTTTTCCAGTTTCAAATAAGGACTCTTTAAGAATTGTTATGGCTTTAGTGGCTCATTATGAAAGAAAAAGTTTATATGGATAAGCCAGACGACTTTTTGACCACAGGTAAAGAAAGTTTGGTGTGTAAGTTAAAGAAATCAATATATAGGTTAAAACAGGCTTCCAGACACTGTTGACCGGTGTATCTATACGAAGGTCAGTGGAAGAAAGTTAATCATTTTAGTCTTGTATGTTGATGATATTTTTTTGGCTATTAATGATGTTGGGTTGTTGCATTATGTAAAAGAGTTTCTCTCTAAGAACTTTAAGATGAAAGATATGGGTGAGGCCTTCTATGTGATTGGAATAGAAATATTCCGTAATAGATCACACAGATTACTAGAATTGTCTCAGAAAGGCTCTATTAACAAAGTCTTAAAAAGATTCAAAATGGAAAAGTGTTCATCAGGGGTGGTTCCAATTCAAAAGGGAGACAAGTTTAGTGAAATGCAATGTCCTAAGAATGAGTTGGAGCAAAAAGCAATAGAATCTATTCCCTACACATCAGTGGTTGGGAGTTTAATGTATGCTCAGACATGCACTCGGCCTTATATCATTTTTGTTATTGGAATGTTAGACCGATATCAAAGTAATCCCGGAATGGACCACTGGAAGGCTGCAAAGAAAGTCTTTAGATATTTACAAAGCACCAAGGACCACATGCTATCTTATAAGAGTTCTAGTCACCTAGAAGTGGTTGGCTAGTCGGATTCAGACTATGCTGGATGTGTAGACTCAAGGAAATCGACCTTTGGCTACATCTTCTTGTTGGCTGGAGGTGCGATTTCATGGAAGAGCATAAAGGAGCCCATTATTGCTACGTCTACTATGGAAGCAAAATTTATGGCATGCTTTGAGGCCACTATTCATGCTTTGTGGCTACGAAACTTTGTATTAGGGCTTGGTATTGTTGACAGTATAGAAAAGTCGCTAAGATTATACTGTGATAATTCTGCAGCCGTCTTCTTCTCTAAGAATGATAAGTATTCAAATGAGCAAAACATATGGACTTAAAATACTTATTAGTGAAAGAAGAAGTGCAGAAACAAAAAGTGTCTATTGAGCATATTGATACTGATTTGATGATAGTAGATCCACTAACTAAGGGATTGCTTATAAAACATTTTCTGGCCATGTTGGAAGAATGAACATTATAGACAAGTCCTTATTAGCATGATTGTGTGATTCACATATATGTATATAGATTATTTTACTCATTTTATTGTAGATATTTTTGGCAATTCAATAAATGTATTGTTTCTGCTTGTTTACTTGTTATCTGAATTGTGGTAATATACATGTATGATTTGAGTTTGATAGCAGGTTGAGTGTTAAAAACACATCAAAGATGCAATATGTAGTATGACTGATTAAAGCTAATTTAATTTGAGTTGTTCTGTGATACTTAGAAAGAATCATGTCGTTGAATGACTTATGACTATCATAATATGATCAATTCAAATCATTGAAAAATGATGACTTGATATTATCAGTGATATGCATACTTACAATTCATTGAACTTTCAAGTCGTTACATAGGTCAAGTGGGAGATTGTTAGATTATTTTAATAATTTTATTATAATGGCCTGTGTAATTTATGACATGACTCTAATTAATGATTTAATATGATAGTGGTTAAATATAAAATATGGAGTCATTGAGGATATAATTTTAAATACAATTATAAGGAAACCCTTCTCTCTCCCTTCAGCAAATAAAAAAGCAGTTACCAAAATAGAAGTTACGACATTTTTCTATTGAGACTATCACTTTCACGGTCTCATAGTAATTGCAAGAAAGATACTTTCTCTTAACCATTCGAGAGAAGCTAAAAGAGGAAGGAAAAGTTGGGGAAAATACAAAAGACTCAACGACATCAAAGAGAGATATAACATCAAGGAACCATAAATTCAGATTAGTACTCTCTAAACTCTTGATTGAGTGAAAACCATATATTGTGTTGTGAAAATTACGTAATTCAAAATTAAAAGAGAAATAGTAATTTTATAATAGTTATATCAAATAAAAATTACATAATAAATTAAAAATCTAATAACAATAGAAAAACAATGCAATTTGGTAACTACATACTACCTTTTCTACATTTTCACTCTTTCTTCGTTTGAAATTGAATAGTAGCTCTGCCTAATCCTTTATTTGGATAAAAGAAAATACAACTAGTAATTTATTTTTATTTATTTAAGTTAAAAAAGTAAAAATTAAAATGCAAAGCTTTTCTTTTTTTAATTTAATTATTTAAATTTATTTTTTTCTTCTCACTTTCCTTTACATTTAAGCAAACAAAGGGTAAGTAAAGAATCGTTCCTTAACTTAAAAAATATATGTATAACCTAGTGAAAACTTAAAAAGCTTTTTTAAAATGTGAAAGTCAAATCCCCAAGGATAAACTTATGAGGAATGAATGATTAATCTAATTTTAAAAAAATAATTCTGGTTTTTCAAAATATATAAAAGACAAATGTAAAACATGTGAATAATGTTGTTTTCAAAATTCCAAAGGAGAAAATCATTTTGCTTTTCAGAGCGCTCTCATCTCAAGGATGGATCTAGAAGATGCATGTCGACACCATGTTAACATCGTTTCTGCCAAGTCGCAACATTCTGAACGTGTATCAGCGTACTAAAGGGATTGAAAACAAATAAATATTAAAATTATTAATATCTTCTTATCCTTATTCTAATATATTTCTTACATAATTTTTAACGATTGTTTATTCATTTATTATGTAATTAGTACTGAGTCACAAAAGCCTTAAAATTTTAGAATAAATATCTAAACTAATCGTTAAAAAAATATATCCAAAACACTTTAATTCCTAAAACAATCAATTAATCCTTAAAATTATAAATATGAACTACTTTTTTTTCTATTAAATATAAACTAATTTAGTCTTTATATTTAACAAATAAAATATTATATTATTATTTTCGTGTCAGTTCCAACCGGATGTGCCCACTGCCCACATGCTATCGCTCCCTCCAACTCGAAAACACAATGTGCATTCGCCGCATTTCTTTCTTTCCATCTTAAGATCATTTCAATTAAATTATTCTTTAACTCACAACAGAAAAAAAAAAAAAAGTTACTATAATTTTACAACGACTCTTGTTAATATCTTTACGACATCAATGAAAAAATTATTAAAAAATCATTACAAGAATATAATAAAGTATTAATCATTTTTCAATTCTTTATACTTAATCATTCCTCTTCAACATTCTCTTATTACAAATTATTCCAAAACAAAGCCTATCCAAAATTATATCCATTTTATTAAAACTAATAATATTATAACTAACTACTACTTTCTAATCCTATTATCCTCTGGTTCGAACAACTACGCCACTGCCGCGTCTGGCATCGTTGAACCCCACCAACCTGCAATTAACGCTGTTTACAGCAGTTACAGCCTTCAGAACAGGGTTCGCGGTTCGGCGACCCGGCCCGAACCACTTGTTCTGCATAAACCGGTTTTTCCTCCACGGTGGAACCGAAAGCCCTCTATCACTGAAACACTTTCTCACCGCGTCGCACACGATCGAAACGGCTCGTTTCAGCTCCTCCGCTTCTCCAACGAACTCGCGGGGAACGGAGCTCAGCACCGCCCAGAACCGCTGCGTCGCCCGCGCAATCTCGAACTGCGTGCGGAAATCGAGGTCCACGATGTACCGCCGCGTGGACGCTCCCGATTGAACCACGTCGACGAACTCGTGGCTCCCGGCGGCGACACCGCTGGAGGAGTCCCACACGGTCGCGCACACCGCCGCGTCGTGTCCTCTCTCTCGGAGAAACGCCACCACGCTTCGTCGGAAAGCCGAAACGTTTCGCTCCCTCAGAAACGCGAATTTCTCCGCAGCCTCAGAAACGTGCGGGAGAAGCGTGTTCCTATAAGGATCCATATTGTTCGCAAGCGCGACTCTCAGCGAGTCGTGGACCGAGTCAACACAGTCGTCTACCGAGTCGACTCGGTCCCAGTCCAACTCGTTAGCTACCGAGTCATCGCCACTACAATTGGTCTCTTCTTCGAGGAAACCATGGACGAGATAAGAGAGGGAAAGGGAGTCCCCGTCGCCGAAATCTGGGGTTCCGTAGTTGAGTTGACGGTGATGGGCGCCGACGAGTCGAGCTCGGGCGTCGTCGTCGAACGGGTCAGTGACTCGCTTCTTTGGTACAAAACTAGGCATTAGTATTTATGTGATTTTGTTTTTTGGAATGAAAATGAAGAGGTTTTGGGTAAAGGGTTGTTTTGTGTGAGAAACGGGTGGTTTTTGAAGAGGGAAATGGACGTAGAAGAATTATGTGGAGAATATTCGTGGAAACTAATTTCAATTTCCACTTTGAGAGTGAGCTTTATGAAACTTAATCTGTTACATTAGATGCTTGGCATATCCGCGGAAGACTAAAAATGGATTGATTATTCAGTGTGTAACGTGTGAGAGTGCAGCTGTGCCAGGTGTCGGTTGTCTCCATAATTTTACAAAAATGTATGAAAATAAAACTAGTGTAATACTTTTATAATTAAAAATAAATATATTTTTCAGATTAAACGGCCCATATATTTTGTAAGAGAAAGAAAATAAAAATTTATTTTATAATAAAAACGTATTTATCTACTTTAATATATGAGATTATCCACCCTTCAATTTTAATATGACTATTTACATTCTACACATTTTAGTTTTAATGGTGAATTTAAAGTGTGATTAAAAATAGTTTTGTTAACCTTTGTCTTCATATTTAAGATTATATAATTATTTTCTAGTTTTAGCAATTTTTACATTAATCCATATTATTTTATTTTAAGAATACGTCTTAAATTTTCTTTGCAATAATATTTAAAAATGTAAATTTTATAAAATTAATTGTCTAATGATATATTATTATCATATTATATATGTCAAATTTTAATTAAATAAAAAAATTATCATTATATAATCCTATAATAAATACTTATTTATATTTTAAAATGTATACGATACATAAAAATAAATTTAATTGATAAATTGTTAAATAATTCTTAATAACATAAAATTCTGTAAACTTAAATTTCTTGATGAAATTGCTTTAACCATAGTAGAATTCACAAAGTTTAATATTAATAAAAGTTATTAAGGACTTTAATGCTTTAAAGCTAAAAATTAATTATTGTATTTTTTAAAATATAAAAACGTATATTTTAATAAAAATGATTTAAATTAATATATATATATATATTAAAGTTATATTTAATTATTCAAAATTAGTTTTGTTCAACTTTAAATTAAATGTATTGTAAAGTAAATTACTTTCTAAGGGCCATGGTTAAGAAATTACAAGTGAGAGATTTTATTGTAAATTGTGTTGAATTATATTAAAAATGATAAAATTTAAGTGCAGTATCATACGTATATTAAAAATCATAAGCAAAGGCCAATTTATAAAATCCACTTTTAATTATCTAAACATTACTCTTAGAACACTTACAATAAAGTATATTGATTTTAAAAAATATATTTTTTGTAATTTTAAAAACAAAATTTTTAATCAATTCAAGTACTTGAAACTAAATATATATTTTTAATTGATATATTTGTACTTAATTAAAGATTAATTATTTTTAGCTTTTGTTAAGTTTAATTTAGTGAATTTTTATTTATGTAAAATTTTACTAAAACTATTTAGTTTGATGAATTAAATTTGAATATGTTTTTTTTTTCTTCTAAAATGTGAGAGTTTTCTCTTAGCCAGACTTCTTCTCACCTTCATTGATTTTATTATAAAAATTCATTTTAAATGGTGATCTTAAGTTTATTAAATCTCGTTTATGGCATCTTATTTCTCAAAAATTCACTATCTATTTATGTTTGTAAATTGTCTCTATTTAAATGTCTCCAATTCTACATTTTTTAGGGTCTTAAATAATTTCTAAATTTTTAAACTCACCAAATACGTCCAAAATAACTCTCAATTGTATCTTGAAATACATATTCTTTTCTATTAATTCTTATGTTGAATTTGTAGTAGAAAACAATATCTTTCTCCTTGTTTTGGAATCATTCCAATTCGAAACCTATAGCATGAAATATAAATCTTTCTTAATAAATGTGTTTTTCTTTTCTTATATATCAAGTTCTAATAGATATGAACATTCAAAATGATTGAATTTGATCCACTTCATACTAAATATAAGTTTTTGTTTTTAAATGAAAGTAGTTTTAGGAGTTTTTTTTTTTATTGCATTCTTTCACTTTTTTTATATTGAACATTTAGCTTTTTTAATTCAATCTTAATTTGAAAATTTTCATAATCTATTTTTAATTTATAAAATATTATCTCTTTAATTTTATTTAATATAATTAAATATTTATTATTAATATTAAAATATATTTTTAAAACTTATTCCTTAAAGTAAGTCTTATAATGCATCTTAAAATTTTAAATTAAATAATTCTCATGCGGCACCCGAGAAACTTATTGATAAAAGAAAATATTAAATAATACATTTAAAACACATTTATTAATATTTGTTAAAAAAAATAATTATAAAAATATATTATTAATATTTTCCCTCACTTTTATTAATAAAAAAAAATGAGCATTCAGCCAAGAGGAGGAATGAAAGGGGAAGGATTGGGCGTTGGGAAAGTGTATTCAAGGAATGGGGTCGTTTTGGGGAATAGGGGTTGCCGTTTGGTAATTATTGTGGGTCAAGAAGGAGCGTTTCATTGGTAGGTGAATCATAAAATATGTGTCGTTATTTGAGGAAAGATAAGGAAAGCAGTTAGATTTAAACTTTGAAGGCATTATTTTTATTGGAAAGGAATATACCATACGTTAATTATACAGTTTTTTTTTTTAATTGTGTTAAATGTTTGTTTGTATTTGTATATATAAACAGTTACGAAAAGAAGATACAAATAAAAAGAAGTAGTTGTGGTTTACTATATTAAAGCATGATTTAATTATTTTTGTTTCTTTTAGCTACTATGATTTAAGTATGATATATTATTAATATAATTTTATACTATTATTTAATTATGTATAAGGTTTTATTAACTTCAGTCTTAAGGGCTGAATTTAAATATCCATAAATAGAAAATTTTTATAAAAAAAGTGGTTAACAAAATCAAAAAACTAAACTACCATAATTATTATTTAAAATATTTTAATATTTTAAAGTATTGTAATATCTCCCTAAATAAAAGAATAAATACTTTTAAAAAAATATTGAATTAAAAATTATTAAAATAATAAAAAGTTTTTTGTGCAATGAGTGTTATTAAATTAAAAGAATTTAATAAAAAATTTAAAATATATTATGCAATTGTTTTAAAATTTTATAATTTAAAAATTAAACATTTTACTGAATAATATTTTTTGTATTAAATTAGACTAAATTTAAAGAGATAAAATTTTTAAATATTAAAAAATTATTCAAAATTTAGGTTAATATTAAATTTTAAAAACACGTTAAATACTGAAGTTACATAGTATAACAAAGAAGAAAATAATTTTTAAAAATACTCTCAATTAAAAATGAATACTCACATTTAATATAAAAAGGAAAATTATAACTGTTACATATACTCGAAAAATATTAACTAAAATTAAAATTTAATTTAAATATATTGATAGTGTAAATATTATAATATTATCATCCAATTATATATTGTATATTAGTAATAATAGTAATTATATTAAAAATCATATGTAATATGTATTATAATTAGTTAACGGTGTAAAATTTTTAAACTTTTAAAATTATATCTATATTACAACAATTTAATATTTATTTACAATCAAATTTTTAAAATAAATAGATATGTGGATCCTATTGAAGTTATTATTTTATAAAAGAAATTAAAATACAAAAGAAAAAGGAGGAAGGAGAATTAATAAAAAAAAATTAAATTAAAAAATTTATATAATTCAGTAAGTAATACTTATTATAATTTTTGTAAATTTAAGAGGATATTTTATATCCTCTTTAAATTATCAGTTATAATTTTTATTATATTTTAAAAATTAAAAGATATTAACATATTTTTTAACTTCATTATCTATTAATATAAAATTAACAATAACAATTGTTATTCTTGTTAGACACATATCAAAACTTTTCAACTAGAGGTGATGTACTATATTTTACCTTGTAAAATTATAGATATCCAAATTCTGTGAGGGTGAAATTTGTTTATCAAGGAACGGTCCAAAATCAGTTAACTTACAATGAATACTACCTTTGTCTTTGTCGTTTAAGAAAAGCTATGCGGAAGAAAGCAAAGTTTGCCACAAGCTGTTCCCATCACTCTTCGTGTTCAAGCTTTTACTCATTTGAACCACAACAAAATTTTACATTTATCGTAATTTTTAGACTAAGAGTGTGTTTGAATTAACTAAAATAGCAAATTATTTTAATCCTTTATTATATGTATAATCAATTGCTGTGATAATCAATTTTATTGCCAAACAAAAATAACAGTACTTTTTATAACTTCTATTCAAACAATTAAAGTAAATGATCTTTCCGAAACACACTAACTTTTGTTTTCTCTTCATTTATTTTTCTGGGCGTATTTTCCAACATTGTAAGACTTTGAGCAAATAGGAATAATGAGAAATCAATATAAATATTGCAAAGGAGGAGATATTTAGCTTCAATAATTTCAACTTTGAAGAAGGTTTTCCATTATTCATTATTGCACTTTAGTAATTTTGGCTCCCAAGTTGCAAAAGTTACAAAAGTGAAAAGGATAGTGTCTAAACGCTTTTTCACCATAACAGTGTAATTCGATTTTAAATTTATTAAACAGTGCAACTTTGTCTTTGGTTAATCGTATATTACAACGGGTTGATTTATGATTATTATTGCTGAAGAGAAGTAGGTAATATGCGTTAGTCAATATTCTTAGGAGAGATTATCAGATAATTCACGATCATTGGATTATAACTTCATCAATTTTAAATATGATTTGCTCAATCGAAATCAAAATACCGTAATTTTAATTTTAATTTCAATTGTTGCTACTTTGTTCAAGTGTCATCTTTTTTAATTTTAAAAATTTATTGAAAAATATGAAAAAAAAAAGGGTTTAAGACCTATCAAACGATATTATCTTTAATGATTTATTAGTTTTGAAATATTATTAAAATCTCTCCAAATATAACAGGTTCTTTTAATTTTGTTTTAAAAAAATAGAACAGT